CAACTTATCCCCCCCACACACACACACAGCCCTGAGGTACCCCACTTGTGACATTAATCCAGTTGGACTGAACGCCATTTATAAAAAAAACCTCTGCTTTCTTCCATCTAGCCACTCTTCTGTCCAATGAACCAACTTATCCCCCCCACACACACACACAGCCCTGAGGTACCCCACTTGTGACATTAATCCAGTTGGACTGAACGCCATTTATAAAAAAACCTCTGCTTTCTTCCATCTAGCCACTCTTCTGTCCAATGAACCAACTTATCCCCCACCCACACACATACGTCATTCAACAAAATATCAATACTTAATACAACAATATACGTCATTCAACAAAATAACAATACTTAATACAATATACGTCATTCAACAAAATATCAATACTTAATACAACGATAGACGTCATTCAACAAAATATCAATACTTAATACAACGATAGACGTCATTCAACAAAATATCAATACTTAATACAACGATATACGTCATTCAACAAAATAACAATACTTACATTGGTCGTCAACTGGGAAGTCAGGGTAGCCACTTTTTCGTTTGCCTGCTCTAGTTCTCTTCGTAACTTGTTAATCTCGTGAGCATATTTCTCGTCAGTCTGTGAAAGAAAGGGTTTCATTTTGCTAAATATTGTGTGGTACAGTTATAAAAAAATAAATATAGTTGTAAACTGGACGACCTGACGAAGAGCGCTAGCTCGAAACGTCATCATTCTTTAAATAAAAATAATAAAAAGAAAAACTTGACGATTGTTCAAACCAAGTATTTAATTTTATTACAGCTATAAAACATTAATATTAGGCCTAATACATTTTTAAACACTACATTCTTTATCTATTCTTTTAATAACTTTCAAGAATGATTAATTATAGTACTCCAATCGCACCATATTTGCCATATCAATTGCCGACGACGCGTTTCGCTCAATCCAGAACTCTTTGCGCCAACTGAGAACTATTCCAACAATTTGTAGCAGTTAACAATATTAAACAACAATAACAACAACAACGCAATGTTACACATTTCTTGAGTCTTTTTCACCAAAGGTAAAAGTTAAAAGAGAATCATACAGAGAAAAATAAATTCGTTTCATTCCCCCCCCCCCCAGACTTACCGTTAAATATAACGAAGATGTTGTTGATGCCAGAGATAGAGACGACCCGTGCACTTGACAAAACAAAAAGAAATTTATTAATTTAATTTCCTCCAAAATTAACTATTAATCGCATCAGTAACAAGTAAGTAGCCATGCTATAAAATTATAAAAAGACGTGTATATCACAAGTATGCTTATTCAAGACATATTGACAAAGTATACGATAGAGATACTCATATTGGTAAAAATATAGATACTGCGTTATACATGTAATTCTGGCGAGACAAATTAACGATATTGTAATATGAAGGTGCTTATCACGGGACACAAATATTTGTTTCGTCTTCTGAAAGGTTACTGTTTATGGATGTCGATTTAAAGTTCCAGAAAGTATTTGACAAGTTGCCACATAAAAAACTTTTTAAATTATTTCTCCAGGTGTATTGTTGTATTAAGTATTGATATTTTGTTGAATGACGTATATTGTATTAAGTATTGATATTTTGTTGAATGACGTATATTGTATTAAGTATTGATATTTTGTTGAATGACGTATATTGTATTAAGTATTGATATTTTGTTGAATGACGTATATTGTATTAAGTATTGATATTTTGTTGAATGACGTATATTGTATTAAGTAGTGATATTTTGTTGAATGACTGATATTGTTGTATTAAGTATTGATATTTTGTTGAATGACGTATATTGTTTTAAGTATTGATATTTTGTTGAATGACGTATATTGTTTTAAGTATTGATATTTTGTTGAATGACATATATTGTTGTATTAAGGTTTATCAATTTCCTTTTATTCCTTGTTTGTTTTATCGTAAAACTACACAAACGACTATCTGCGCTGTGTCCATCACAAGGTATTGAACCCCGGATTTTAGCGTTGTTTGTCGTTAAACGTACCGCTGACCCAATGGGGGACATTCATTTCTTCAGGCTTAGCAATCTGAACTTGATTTACTTTTCGAACCAACGAAACTGAAGAGTAATTCATGATCTTCATTACTTTTCCCGCTGTGTATTTTACACTCGGGATTCCCAAACTGTTGTACCTTTGTACGGGGGTACACGAAAAGGTTATTGTAAAAAATTATAAAATTTGAAGTAAGTTTGAGCTTCCCGCGTATATATATATATACACACACACTACTCTCCTTATTTCAAGACTCGCCAGTGTTTTCTTTCCTTCAAAGTGACAAAAATCGCACGAAATGTTCTTTAAGAAAAAAAAAACAACAACAACAAAAGTATCCTTCCCATTAATAGGTAAGTGTTACAATATTTCATTTTTGTTAGGGCCCGGCATGGCCAGGTGGTTAAAGCGCTCAACTCGCAATCTACGGGTCGCGGGTTCGGA